GCCATGAGGATAGCTGGCTGGAGCCTGAAGGGCCTGGCCTGTGCTAAGAGAGCCCTCAGTGCTGAACCAGGGCACGGGGAAATGGTAGTGCTGCAGCATGAGGCCCAGGAGCGAGCAGCTGAGAGGAGCTGAGTCCTCAGTGCCCAGAGCGGGGCACAGGATGGGGAGGAACCCAGTGGCACAAGAGAGCCCTGGAGAGGCACTCCAGCAAAGGAGACCCCATCAAGCTGCACCCTGACCACCACCACCTGAGGGAGCGTGAGTTATTGGGACCTTCGGTCCCACAGGGGAAAGACAGTTGGAGCAGGCTAACCCAGAGAAGGGGCTGGGTGAGCACCCCTCTGCCTAGTCAAAGCTCTAAGGGGAGGGGCCTCTGGTGCTTCCTGGACACCCCCCAAGTGACCCCATTGGAAGGAGAACTATCTCTTGCCATGGGTTAGGGACTATATTAAGGGATAGATGTTATTAAGATTGTTCATGTTTGCGCCTTATATATTGTAATTGAAATGTTGTATTGTGATGTTGTAAATAGTGTTATTTAGGGTTTTGACCTTGGTTAGTGGTTACTGTTCACTGTGTAAATATATGTATATGATATTTAGTTTTATGTTTATGTATATTATAACATAATACATTGTATACAGTTAAGAACTTTGGGCTTGGGCTAACTCTAGAGGAAAGAAGGATCTGCTTGAAATTCTGGCATCCGTCTCTCAGCACCCCCTCCTGCCTAACCTATCCCATTCAGTTGAGAATAGGGCACACCCTTGGGTGTACCCAGGTTACACCTGTTACCCAGACACTTCCTGCTCTGGGTCAGGGGTTTAAATGGGGGAAACTGAGGGTCAGCTGACCCCAGCTGGCAACTCTGTTGCCCCATGAGTGGGTAGAGACCTAGGCAGAGCCATCACAGAAGGGGGAAATGAGGGAGGGGAGATCTCAATCTATGCTTTGGAGATCAAAAAGCTGAGTTAGACTCTATAGTGCTTATCATGCAGCAAAAAAAATGCAGCTCCACTTATATGTATAAGAGGATAAGGAAAGAAGTAGGGACACTATACAGTGGAAATGAAGTCCATAAATTTGCCTTAGTTTTCAGCCGGTATGCCTACATGTGCAAATGCTCTGGGGTGGCATCTATATGTGCAGGCAAGCGAGAGCCAATTTGCTGCTTATGGCAGCAGTCTGCTCCCGCCCCCGCCAGACCTGCACCAGTGCCTTGCAGCAGCAAGGGAGAACTCTAGGCTCCCCCTGGGTGCTAGCCCAAGGACTGGCAGGGAGCACAGAGCCAAGAGACAGCTGTCTCCAGGCAGGGGCTGGGAGATTGGTCGCTGCCTGCAGAAGCTACTTGCTGCCAGGGCTGGCTCCATCATCAGAGCCTAGGCAGGAACAATGTCCCCTTGCCCCAGCAGCAGGGAGATCTCAGCCCCTGCTTTGTGATTACAGAGAGGGACTGGAAGCTCCCTGCTGCCAGGCAGGGGACACTGTCCCCGTCCAGGCTCCAGTGGCGGAGCCTGCCCATGTACCTCCCAGGGGCAGGGAGCAATCTGCCCAGCTGACTGGGAGCAAATTTGCTCCTGGTCTGTCACCTATATGTGCCATACTTCACAGTAATTACTCCTGAGTAAATTTGCTATTTGTATTTACAGATAGCAAATTTACTTGAGATTAAATTACCGTGCAGTAAGTGTCTGCATTTGTTGACAGTGATGCACAGTAATTTGCTCTAATCTCAAGTAAAGCATCTCATGTTGACGTGCCCAGTAACAACCAAAATGTTGACAATGGTGGGGAAAAGGCAAGATGGATAATGGGAATGATGGTATGGAAACTGGCATGACTACAACTGGGGTAGAATCAAAATTTGAAAACTGCTGCATCCAAATCGAAGGGAGGGGAGGCTGGATAACTCCATTTGAAAGAATGATACTTAAAATTGCTGGTCTAGGAGCAAGTATTTTTAATAAGTGTATTAAATTTGAGATGGTACCACAGGATTAGAGAATGTCAAATGTAGTACCTTTATTTAAAAGGGGAATAAACATTTCTGAGTAACTGCCAGCTGGAAATGGAACATATAACACAATGCATCACAGACTTTCCAAATGCATATAAGCTAACTGATTTTCTAGACAAAAGAAATGATAGAGCTCTCATTTATTTGGACTTCAGTAAGACATTTGTTCTGGTGCCACATAGCTAATCTAGAGAGCAAAGATGGGGAAAATGGGCAGTACAAGAAGAATCACAAGCTGAATAGGAAACTGGCTACAGAATGGATAGTACATGCAGGTGCTGAAAGGGGAAGAAGGATCATGCTGAAGTGAGATTACTAGAGGGATTCCACAAGGATCAGTCCTGAGACTGATGATTTTAAAATTTTTATTAGTGGCTTTGGCACCAGAAGTAGGAGTTTGCCAATCAATTTATTGAGGACAAAGCTGGGAAGCCTAATCAATGCAAGGGGTGATTAGGATAGCATAGAGAAAAAATGGGATGAATTTGAGAATGGGAGTAATAAAAGTATAACAAGATTCATGACTCCTCAAGTGCATGACTTCACATTTTGCCCTGTTAACAAGAACTTCTTCTGCTGTAACAACTGAGACGTAGAGATAGAAAGTATTGATGCTATTGTACAAGGTCTTAAGGAGACTCATCTGGAATACTAGGCGTGTATACATGTGCATTTAGGCCATCTTAAATTTACTGTACAGAGCAAGCATAAGCCAGCATCTGCATGTGGAGACACTAAGGTGCATTAATAGTGTGTGGACTGACTTGTGACTGAAGTTACTGTGCAGTAACACACAGGTAAACTCCTTACTGCGCAGCAACTAATCAGGTATAAATTTAATATCTGCATGATGCAAGTATCAAATTTACACTCAAGTTGGCATAAGTCACCATATTTACTGCTCAGTACAGGAGCACATGTGTAGATGCGCATCCATACTATGCAGTAATTTCAGTTACTGCGCAGTAAATGCACACATGTAGATGTGCCCACTGTGTACAATTGTACTCAACCTAGTTCAAAGAAGGTAAATTCAGACTGGAATGAGGTCCAGAAGGACTGCTTGTATTACCAAGCAACTGGAAAGCCTATCACATGAGATGAGAGGAGAATAGCTTCGCTTGTTAACCTAGTGAAACAAAGCCCCAGAGGAATTACAATTACTGTCCATAAATATATCAGTAGGATATACACCCATGAGGTAAAAAAAAGAAGCATTTAAAATGAAACAACAATGTCAGCATAAAAACAAATGGATATGAAGTAGCAATGAATAAGTCTGAATTGGAATTTAGAAGGTTGCTAATCATTAGAGCAGTCAGGTCCTGAAAGAGCCTTCCAACAGCAGTAGTAAATTTATGAGAGGGTTTATATGAAGCATTGCCTGAGACAGCAGGGGACTGGATTTGGTAATCCAAGAGGTCCTGTGTTCCTTTTGCTACAGGATTATTCCATATAGTATATCAGTTTAGCTGTAAATGCCTCAAAGCAAATCAAAGTGTCTTCCACTATCTCCTCTACATGAAAACAAATCTGTATGTTTTGCCAGCAACACTATCCAATTAACATGGTAGGCAGCAAAATATATAAGGCAATTCCATAAAAATACTTAACAGTACATATTTCCAAAATATTTTTTTTCCAGCTTTACCAGGGATGCAAATTATTTTCACGTACCAGGTCATTTCATTTCAGTCCCTCTGTTACTCTCCAGTGAAGCAGACAACAGCAGCAATTCTTTGGTTTTAGGAAGGAGTGGTAGTGACAAACTGGATGATAAATAAATACAATTTAGTAAATCTGTGGAAAAAAGTACAGGTTTGAGAAGGAAGGGTTGGAGAACTTAACTGTTTTATGCATGGAAGTTCAAACACCTTTTCAGATAGACATATTGCAAGCCCCTATGGGATAGTCAGACTGTATCATCACATCAAATCAATCATAAATTTACTGACTTCAAGTTGCTATGGAAAGGCTCACAAAAGACAGCCAAGTCAGACCATATGTAACACTTAAGGATAGGACACATACATTATTTTAATATTACAATCAAAAGTAACAGATTGTGTTATGGAAAAAAAAAGTTTAAATTCTGGCTACTTGTGCTGTTTATTGTTTGTTTCAGACTGACTGAACTAAAAAGTCAGCATCACTTCTGTTAAACTTTGTTTTTCACACACTAATACAATAGTATTTGGGATTTCTTCATTGCCTGAAAATGGCTATAGGCCTCCAAAATTTGTTTTAATTTAAAATTTAAAAACACAAGAAAAATTGCGGATGCACAACAATACCAATATAAAATAAAATATAAAATAACTTTAGAATTAAATTTGCTCAGGGGAGGGGAGAAATGGTGGAACATGTTTCTGCATGTATTTATTCTAAAAGGCTATGGATATACATTACACATAAACTGGTTTAAACCTTCAACAGAACAGATGTTCAGTGCACATAAACCAGTTTAAAAATGGCTGAAACTGGTTTGAGATATACCTGGTTGAATGTATGAGACTTAAGTGATTTGGCTCAAACAGGTTTATGTAATGTATGTCCCAGACCCCTTCCTGGTTTAAGATAAACCAAACACCTCCAGCATCCCAGTATGCTCTCTGTGCTGGGTGGGGCTCTCTATTCTACAGCAGGGCTGGCTCCTCCCCTCTGCTCCCTGGCTGCAGCTTGGCAGAGACTTACAGACACAGCAGCATCTGCCTGGCTTCTCCCTGCTAAGCAGGGATTATTCCCCGCTCCCCTCTGCCTTATGCAGACATCTCAGCATTAGCTAGCAGACTACATGCTGGCTACAGTCCATGCTGTGGGAGATGACTAAGGCAGACAGGTTTTTTGGAGCTAATCAACAGGTAGCTTAATGTCCTTCCTTGGAAACAATGTTTAAGCAGAGCTGTTTGCTCCCCCCCACCCCCTTGCCAAGAGGTATCTATGTATTAGCTAGCAGACTATATGCTGTCTATGGCTGGTGCTGAATCAACAGGTAGAATCAGCAGGTATCTGGTAATGTCCCTCTGTTGTTTTCTTAATGGGGCGATAAACATTGTGTTAGGGGTGATAAACTCTATTATCAATTCCCTGCTGGGCTAATCAGAGTGTCCTGCTGGGGCCTGGCCACACCACCCCTCAGCTCAGTGCTGTGCAAAGGAAGGAGGGCTGCTCTAGTGCCCCCCACCTTCTAGCATGTATCTGCATGTCTGGGATGTCTGCAGTTACAAAGTGATTTAACCTAGCCAGGTTAGATTAACCTGCAAAGATTGAATCAATTCAGGCTTAGCCTTTTTGAATGTGTCCCTTGCCAATGAGGACAACTTTAATCCTTGGTTTCCAGGAAATTGAGTATTACTAATTTGGCCTATTTTGGCAAGCCAGTGATTCTGTTCCTGAAACTGCATACTCTTTCAGATGAGCAGAACCCTGCACCTACACACAATCCTACTGAAGTTTATGAGGTCTGAGGATTTGAGGGTATGCCCCCAGGGGAAAATTAGCAGGTTTAAGACATAAGTGGGAAATACTGGTAGCAAGCATACATACAGAGTATTCTTTTGGACACATTTACATTTTTTTCCATGACTAACCAAATTCATTATGTACTTATTACAACTGGCTGCTGCTCTATGAGCTATCACCAGTTTTCCAGACAGCTGCTTTATAGACACAACTTCTGAAAGTGAAATTGAGCTGTTACACTGCTTCACCATAGTCCCAAGCAGGTAGGTGGGCAAAGAAATTCTGAAGAAAGTCCAAAGACAACACGTAGCAAATTTGAGTCTGTTCATGCTGTTATAAACTGAGGGGTTCATTTTCCAAGCTATTTATATGATTACAAACCAGACCTTCAGTTTATATACGAGATGTCTCAGTGTGGTTCAGACTATAAAAGAAGATCCAGCACATTAATTTCAGGAGCTCCCCGATGATTTAAGTCAAGTTAAGTGCAGTACACTTCAGTAAAATTACCTTCACAGGATCTGCAACTATTTTAGGAGGCAGTACTGTCTTTTTGTTTGAAGCAGGCCATGTACTTTCTCCCAAAGATTTAATAGTGCAGTGTTTTGTTTTAGAAGACAGGCCTTCCTCCCTAGTCATTTCTCATTAAATAATAAATATTACAGGTCATGATTTGTTAAGAAAAAAACTTTGGGGTTTTGATAACAGAAGAGGCCTTTCTCTAACTGTCAACATTTTGAAGCTGTGTAATAATGCAGCCTTGAGGTTCCCATGGCAACATGTTTCATTTCCTAGGTGACAGTGATCGTATGTCGTCACCAATGAACTAAGCTAACTCTTAAAATATGTCAAGTTTCCTTCAAATGTAGACACCCTGAAACTTCCAGGTCTTGTTCTGATTCACGTGCCTTGCTTTTAAGGCCAGAAAGCACCATCATTCAGATAATCATTTAGTTGGGCCTCCTACATAACACAGGCCATATTCTTTCAACCAGTTACCTCTTCCTTGAGCCCAATAACTTGTGTCTACCTAAATCACAGCTTCCAGAAAGGTGTCTAGTCTTGATCTGAAAACCTCAAGAGATAAGGAATGCAACACTTCCCCTTGTATACTGTTCCAGTGCCTAATCACCCTCCACTAGTAACAATTTGCACCTCATTACTCTTCTGAATTTGGCTTCCAGTGTCAGCCATTGTTTCTTGCTATGCCTTTTCTACAAGATTCTTCACAACACTAGTAAATCCTGAACAGCTTTGTGCCAGCTTCCTCACAGGAGCACTATTTAAAAATCAAAACTTCTTGAATTAGCTATATTAACGAACTGATCTTTAACCATGCCTGTAGATGCCTCCAAATAGTGTGATGCTATAACAGAGGGCTGTGTATATGAGGCCCAGAGTTCCCTATGCCTGTGCAATTTATACAGAATTTGTCTGTTGGCAACTTGTAGATTCCTTACAACAGAACATTACATTTTCCAGCTTCACAGCATGGCAGCCAGCTAGGCCTTGTCTATGTAGTAGGGCTGTTGACCAGCACCACTATACCAGAATAACTTTTCCAGGACAGCCTACTTTTCACATGGGTGTACCATTCTAAAATAAAAGTGACATAATTTTGTAGGAATTTTGACGCTTCAGGAGTGGCCTAGGATTTTATTCTGGAGTAACTAAATGATAGCAAAACAGCTACAGTAAATAGTTATACCAGTCAATTTCCCCCATGCAGTCAAGGTTTCCGTGACATTAGAAGAGACAGAATAGATCTTTGGCTCCAAAACAACAGGCCCCGAACATTTGAGTTAAGGATGATCACAGTACTTTGTGTGCTAGTATGAGGAATTAAGGATCTCATAAATCATCTGTAGATCATCTGCTAGAGAATGTCACAAACAAGGCTGACATTCTGCACCTGGGATACATTCTGCAACCAGGACTTCGCAGCTACAGTGCCAATTGTTAACTGCAGCATGCAGTACTTACACAATCATTTTGAAAAGGTATACATATATCGAAAGCATTCAGAAAGCTTGTGCGTGTTCTGTGCCGGAAATCCTCCTGTGGTTACTTACCTATACAGATCATCACTGATGGATTCTAACGTCTCCCATTTCACCAACCTGAAGAAGGGTATTTTCTCCTCAAAAGCTTGTCTAACATCTCTCCCAACTGTACAGTTGGTTCAATAACAGAGATCACTAAAATATACCTGGCTTCTCTCATCCAAACAGATTTTCTCATCATTAGTTAAACTATTATGGTGACCACATTCCAACTTTAGTTTTATTTTCTAGCAAAGGTTCCTAAGTTGTCGAAGGCAGCGAGCTGGTTGATCATATGGCTGAAACTTTCTACAACAAATTGCAACTTTTGGATGACTAATCTGAGGTACCTTAATGGGGCCCAGTTTTCAAAAGTACCGACTTCCCCTCTTCCCTCAGAAAAATCAAGTCTCTTCAAAAACAGATACCCCTTGATGCAGAGTCTGTCCACTGTTTCTGGGTGCTAAATTTCATAAGACATCTAATTGTACATTAAACACTTCCTTAATATTTTCCAAAATAAGCAACTGCTGTACTACCTGCTAGGGAGTCATGTGATCTCAAACACTAGGAAACAGGAGCGAGGGCTCTACTGAAGGTGGTCCACAGCATGCAAAGGTTTGCATGCAAACAGAACTGTTCATACTGGTATTTTGTATGAGTGTTCCCTTTCTGGAAAAACTTGTGCATATGTTCAGCTGTGCAGGGTTTAAAGTGGTCTAAGGAAATAAAGAAACACATTGATCTGAATATTCAGTCAAAACTTCTCATCTGGTCCTTTGTCTCTTTTCTATTTATTCAACTCCTCAAAAAAGCACATGAGCATTCAATGTTAATAAATCCTCCTCTATGATAATGAAATATTAGTCTTGAGAACTTATCTAGAAAGAAGTCAAGAGCATCAAAAGTTAGGGTTCCCACAGCAACAATAACTCGGCCACATTTAAGATATATAATGGAGCATAAATTAACAGTTATTGAAAATACTACATATGTGCAGTGTGGCCTAGTTAACATTGCTATGGGAACCTTAACTTTGGAATATATAATTATTCTGCTTTAAAAAAAATAAAAGAGAAGTAATCATTACAGATTGTGCTGGAAAAGATTACAGCCAATTTCTAATCTACAATCTGTTGATCCAGAAGTGTAGTGACTCAAATGCTACTCAAATTGAAACAGGTGAAGTATCACTGTTATGAACACAGGACTCCACAACCATAGCTGTATCCAATTTTGATAAGTTGGCTGTATTTTAAATCAGAATTTAAAATTGAGTTGTATTCACTGAAGTGATCTCGGATACTAACACAGTTAGGTGGGAAGGACATTTTCCACCGCCCCCCTTTTCACATTTGGATGTATTAAATATTTTGGATGAACGAACTGTAGATTGCTTACTGGTTTTAGTCTTTTCCAGCACAATACATTTCCAAAAATCAAGTCACACTGGGGTGTGTGTATGTATGTGTCTTAATGGTAATATTGGATTCTCTCTGCTAAAAAGAAAATTCTTTCTCCTGTCTGATTAGCTAAAAAATAGATTTGGCTTTCATCTAAATCAGGCAATATTTTAGGATTGAGGGGTTTTAGGTATTTCAAACAGATTAGTCATAGTATGAATGAAAAGCTCATTCTGTTCACTGGATAGGGCATAGACTGAGGAGAAGGAACCCAGAGACCTCTTCCTGGCTCTGTCCCTGTTGTGATGTCCTTCACTTCACTGATGCACTTCATTTCCATATGCCTCAGTTTCCAAACTTGTGAAATTGGGTATAATGATGCCTACTTTCCATTTTATGAGCAGACCTAATGTTAAGCCAAACACTATCTGTACTTATTTCCATTTAAATAAGATAAAGCTCTAGGTGCCTTGAAACAATATTTGAACAGAATCCCAGCATCATTAAAATAATTATTCAGAAAGGAATTCTGCCAGTCTGCCACCTACAAAAGAAAGAAGCTCCTTTCTACTCCTGTACCCTTCAGTTTTGTGCAGCAAGCATAGCCTTGGGCCCCCTCTCTGGTTCATGGTATTTTGGACAAGGGGATGGGGCAATTTAGAGTCCTGGAGCTGTGTACAATGGCTAAGTCTTGTTATGGATGCCTAATAATACCGTAAAATTCTTGGACTTGAATTAGTGTGATGAGTTCCTGCCTGATATCCAGTTCTGCTTGTATGCCCGGATTTCTAATGACATTTGCAGGGTTTTGTTACTGGTAGGGAAAGCTGAATTTTGGTACTGAAGCAAAACACGTGGTTCAAAAAGGGTCTTGATTATTTGAAGTGATCTTGATTTCTTGACATTTATATAACCTTGTTTTAATGAAAACTATATGCCAGTATCACTTGCATATGGTATTCTTTTTATTTCTGATAAGACTTTATTTGGGCTGTGACCCTAAATTACCATGGCAGATATGGTTTAACAAACAAAACAAGCAAGTGAGATATTACTGGCTGCAGCAGTATCCATCAGTATCCATTATAATTATAAGGCATGCGTGCTTGAGTAGGTAAAAAACAAATCCTTGTTGGCAAGAAAGATAGGAAAAAAACTCTAGCTGAGCCCATGGCATCCAGTGAGAGGCATTCTCTCTCTCTCTAAACAGTG